GTGCCGAATTAGAAAGGTGGGCTGAGTGCGGTTCTCCCAAAAGCACAGCAATAACTGCTAACATCTGTTGGGAAAGGGAACCTGAGCAAGGATAATGAACCTCTTTAAGTGTTTTATGGAGGGGGTACTTAAGAAAAGGAAAAGCACCCCTTTTAGTGTCTTAGGGCTAGGTAACCTGTGCAAGGTAGATCACTCCTTTACATGTCTTAGAGTTAGGGAACCCGAGCAAGGATAAGGAACCCCTTTAAGTGTTTTAGGGTTTGGAAACCCGAGGAAATGTAGAACACCCCTTTAAGCGTCTTAGGGTTAGGGAACCTGAACAAGGAAGATCACTCCCTTATGTATCTTAGAGTAAGGGAACCCGAGCAAGGATAAGGTTGTTGGGTTGTGTTTAACGTCGCTTTTAACAGTATTCCAGTCATATCCCGGCGTGTCAGCTTAATGTGGTAGGAAAGCCCGAAGTGATGCAGGTCTGAGGCGTTTACCACTTTGGTGAAACCCACGAGCACGGGTATGGTGCTGACAAACCTAGAAACATAATCGGGGTGAACCGGGATTCGAACCCACAATCATAGGTTTCTGGTGTGCCCAAGGGACGCAACTCTGCACAGCGAATCGCCGCGCCTTAGACGACTGGGCCACCCGCGCCCCCAGCAAGGATAAAGAACCCCTTTAAATGTTTTAGGGTTTGGAAACCTGAGCAGGGGTAGAGCACCTCTTTAAGTGTTTTGGGATATCTGAGCAGGGACAAAGAAGCTCTTTAAGTGTCTTAGGGTTAGGGAACTCGAGCAAAGGTAAGGCACCCCTTCAAGTGTCTTAGGGTTAGGGTACCGGAACAAGGGTAAAGCACCCTTTCAAGTGTCTGAGGGTTAGGGTACCTGAGCAAGGATAAGGAACCCCTTTAAGTATTTCAGGGTTTGGTAACCTGAGCAAGGGTACAGCACCCCTTTAAGTGGCCTAGGGTTAGGCAACCTGAGCGAGGATAGGAACCCCTTTAAATGTCTTAGGGTTTTTGAACCTGAACACGGTTATTGAACCCCTTTAAGTGTTTTCGGGTTAGGGTGCCCAAGCAAGGATAGAGCACCCCTTTAAGTGTCTTAGGGTTAGGAAAGGGTTGGCTTCCATTTTAGGGTCTTCGGGTTAGGAAACCAGGTACAATGCCCCCCTTTTTTCTTAGGGTTAGGTCACCAGGGCAAGGGTAGGACACCCCTTATATAGTCTTAGGGTTAGGTCACCAGGGCAAGGGTAGGACACCCCTTATATAGTCTTAGGGTTAGGTCACCAGGGCAAGGGTAGGACACCCCTTATATAGTCTTAGGGTTAGGTCACCAGGGCAAGGGTAGGACACCCCTTATATAGTCTTAGGGTTAGGTCACCAGGGCAAGGGTAGGACACCCCTTATATAGTCTTAGGGTTAGGTCACCAGGGCAAGGGTAGGACACCCCTTATATAGTCTTAGGGTTAGGTCACCAGGGCAAGGGTAGGACACCCCTTATATAGTCTTAGGGTTAGGTCACCAGGGCAAGGGTAGGACACCCCTTATATAGTCTTAGGGTTAGGTCACCAGGGCAAGGGTAGGACACCCCTTATATAGTCTTAGGGTTAGGTAACCAGGGCAAGGGTAGGACACCCCTTATAAAGTCTTAGGGTTAGGTAACCAGGGCAAGGGTAGGACACCCCTTATATAGTCTTAGGGTTAGGTAACCAGGGCAAGGGTAGGACACCCCTTATATAGTCTTAGGGTTAGGTAACCAGGGCAAGGGTAGGACACCCCTTATATAGTCTTAGGGTTAGGTAACCAGGGCAAGGGTAGGACACCCCTTATATAGTCTTAGGGTTAGGTCACCAGGGCAAGGGTAGGACACCCCTTATATAGTCTTAGGGTTAGGTAACCAGGGCAAGGGTAGGACACCCCATTTTGGAACCAGTTCACGGCAAGGGAACCCCTTTTTAGTGTCCCGGAATAGATCCTGAGTGATCACTGTCCAAAAGTTATGTTCTTATATTAGAGTCAGCTGTTTTTTGTTTTGTTTTTATGCATGATTACCAATGCGTGATTAGCAATATTGACACAGTAACACAGGCACTCGGTCATTGTGAAGGATGTATTTGGGTTTACCTCAGTTTTGAACACCATATAGTATCTGGCACCTCAGACGAGCTGACCCTGGCAAGTCTTTGTATCCTGCCCATCTTTGGCATTCTGGATCTCTGGGCCACTTAAATATGACAGAATCTGTTGCTTTGAATTTTGTCTGATGATGAATCGTGTTTGTTATTTTCATAATTATACTACTCAAAAGAAGTTAAGGATCACCCCATTCTTTCATATTGGTAATGTTAATCTGTCATGGCGTGAGAGATTAACTATTGTAATATGAAAGAATCAGGTGATCCTTAACTTCTTTTGAGTAGTATATATCTTATTTCATATACATACTCACACGCAAAAGAAACGCAAGTGGTTTTAAGCAAATAGGTAACAAACATGGAACCATTAATTGATACGAGTTTTAGCATGTAGTGAAGCCTGATGGTGTTATCAATATTTTTGGTTGCATTTTGGAAGCCTCGAGTAAAAACGCAACATAAAAAACGAATCGCCAAAACGCACCATTTTAATGAATATGTGGGTATCATGCACCCATTTCTCGCGAAAACGAACTGTCACGAACTGTGGTGGGTATAAAACTGTGGCCGATCCTTGGACCCACCACTCTTTGGTCAACAATGCCACGCCTAACTCAAATTCAGAGAAACCAGGCTATCGGACGTTTGGAAGCTGGAGAGTCTGTCCAAGATGTTGCCCGTCATTTCAACGTTAACATAACCACAATTTACCGTCTCCTGCATCGATACAATGCTACTCAGACCAGAGATGTCCTTCCTCGGAGCGGTCGTCCTAGGGTAGCACACCTCGACAAGATCGGCAGATTACCCGTCAACACCAGCGACATCCGTTCCTTACTGCAAGTGAAAGTGCTCGACAGACCATAGGAACATAGGAACCGTTCAAACAACCTCAGATGTCACCGACCAGCACGTCGTTCTGTTCTCCAACCACGGCATCACCAAGCACGACTTCAGTGGGCACAGGGTCATCGCAATTGGAGTCATCGGGAGTGGAGGCGTGTCATCTTTTCTGATGAAAGTCGCTTTTGTCTCTCCCATGCAGACGGAAGAGTCAGAATCTGGCGGCGTCGAGGTGATCGTTTCGCGGACAGAAACGTTGTGGAAAGGGGTCCATGGGGTGGACCTAGCGTCATGATATGGGAAGGGATTGGAATTAATGCGAGACTTGGACCCATTTGCTTTCTGAATGTTGGTCAAGGTCGGGGACGCGGCGTCACTGCTCAGGGGTATATCGACCAAGTGATCAGACCCCACGTTGTTCCATTTTTTGCAAAACATCAACAACACATTTTCCAGCAGGATAACGCTCGCCCCCATGTTGCCAGAGCTACCATGGCCTTTCTGCAACAACACAACATCCGTGTTCTACCGTGCCCAGCCCTCAGCCCTGATCTGAACCCCATCGAACACTTGTGGGATGAGGTTCAAAGGCGTCTGCACAATGTGCGCCCAGTCCCTACAACTGCTGATGAACTACGCACAGCTGCTCTCGACCCCTAGGGCCTTCACAAATCGTCTGATCCACTCAATGTACAGGAGATGTGTGGCAGTGATCAATGCTAATTTTGGTCACACCAGGTATTGACCGACATTTTGGGTATTGACCCAAAACTGTGTAAGCCCTTAACATTTGAAAAAAAACAATTATGTCATCTGCCTTTTAATCCATTAAACCGCCTTCAGTCAAATTTTTGTCAATCTTGCCCTATTAGTATTTCTTGTCTTTACTGTTGAAAATAAATACCATGTTTACTGCATTCTCTACTTGCGTTTCTTTTGCGTGTGAGTATATATATATATATATATTTAGTTATTTGTTTTGAAAGGTGTACCGAAATTGCCCTGATTATCTTAAGTGAAATTTGTCAAGTGATGGTATTTCAAATAACTATGAGAACCCCGTATGTCTGCATCCAGTCATACAAATCAACAAATATTAAACAATTTTGCAAGTTTATTTCATCTAAGTTTTATTTATTTCCTTTGTTGTATTTTAGACAATAACGGGGTCATTTTAAATAGTGTCATAAATATTTCAAATCAGTGCTCCAGAGTATTGGAGTATTTACTCACGTGTTATCATTCACTTAGGCGTTGATGGTTTTCTTTGGGTATTCAATATGTGATTGCTCTCTTGGGTCAAGTCTACATCTTGTATTTGTAAACCATTAAGCAGTCTTTTCAAAAATAATTCTGCTAAAATGCTTTATGTGACTTCTTATGTCATGCATGAGTTGCCAAGTCACCTGTCAAGCTCATGCCTGTCTACTTCAGCAACCCCTGCTTGCCATAAAACTATGCTTTTCGTATGAGGCAACTAACGGGGTTGGATGGTCTGCCTGCACGTGACATGTAAAAACATGGCATGGTTCATAGTGGCTGACAGTGTCAATATCAGATAAACCCATGAATTGATAACCTGTGTAACACTGTATGCATTTGACCAAATCTTAAAACTGTCCAAATTACAGATGTGTTTGTCATTTGTGACTGTGTGTGTAACTGTATGAATAGTTACATTTTGATATATATCAATGTTATAACTACTGGCAGCTCGTATGGGGCCCGGGTTAGAACAGATCCCCAGTAACCCATGCTTGTCGTAAGAGGCGACGATCCCCAGTAACCCACGCTTGTTGTAAGAGGCGACGAAATAGATCAGGTGGTCACGCTATATAAAAGATAAATACTGAGGACATTCTAGATGTTTCAATGTATATAACATAGGGGTAAACACATCATTGTTGAAGTCAATGAAAAGGGACGAATAAGAATTGATTCTAATCAAACAAGTATGTTTTTCCCATACTGATATTTTTGTATTTACAAGTTTGACAGTGTGTACAAATCAAATTCTCGTTTCAGTTTCAGTTCTTGCCTGATGTGCAGTTCAGGTGTACCTGAAGTCCACTTCCAGTGTGCCCTATGTCCATTTCCGGTGTGCCCGATGTCCTCTTCTGGTGTGTCTGATGTTTATTTCCGGTGTGCCTGATGTCGCTTCCGGTGTGTCTTAAGTCCACTTCTGGTGTGTCTGTTGTCCGCTTCCGGTGTGTATGAAGTCCACTTCTTGTGTTCCTGAAGTCCACTTCCGGTGTGTCTGATGTCCATTTCCGGTGTGCCTTATGTCCGCTTCCGGTGTGTCTGTTATCCGCTTCCGGTGTGCCTGAAGTCCACTTCCGGTGTTTCTGATGCCCATTTACGGTGTGCCTTATGTCCGCTTCCGGTGTGCCTGATATCCCCTTCTGGTGTGTCTGTTGTCCACTTCTGGTGTGTCTGATGTCCATTTCCAGTGTGCCTGATGTCCCCTTCCGGTGTGTCTGAAGTCCACTTCTGGTGTGTCTGTTGTCTGCTTCCGGTGTGTCTGAAGTCCACTTCTGGTGTGCCTGATGTCCTCTTCCGGTGTGTCTGAAGTCCCCTTCTGGTGTGCCTGATGTCCCCTTCCGGTGTGTCTGAAGTCCCCTTCTGGTATGTCTGTTGTCTGCTTCCCGTGTGTTTGAAGTCCACTTCCGGTGTGTCTGATGTCCATTAACGGTGTGCCTGATGTCTGTTCCCGGTGTGTCTGATGTTCGCTCCGATTTGTCTGATGTCCATTTACAGTGTGCCTGATGTCCACTTCTGGTGTGTCTGAAGTCCATTTACGGTGTGCCTGATGTCTGCTTCTGGTGTGTCTGAAGTCCATTTACGGTGTGCCTGATGTCTGCTTACGGTGTGCCTGATGTCTGCTTCCGGTGTGTCTGAAGTCCAGTTCCAGTGTGCCTGATGTCCGCTTCCGGTGTGTCTGAAGTCCATTTACGGTGTGCCTGATGTCTGCTTCTGGTGTGTCTGAAGTCCATTTACGGTGTGCCTGATGTCTGCTTCCGATGTGTCTGATGTCCATTTACAGTGTGCCTGATGTCCGCTTCTGGTGTGTCTGAAGTCCATTTACGGTGTGCCTGATGTCTGCTTCCGGTGTGTCTGAAGTCCAGTTCCAGTGTGCCTGATGTCTGTTCACGGTGTGTCTGATGTTCGCTCGGATGTGTCTGATGTCCATTTACAGTGTCCCTGAAGTCCAATTCCAGTGTGCCTGAAGTCCAGTTCCAGCATGGCTGATGTCATGTACATGGTGTGGCGTGGCGTGGCGTGGCGTGGCGTGGCGTGGCGTGGCGTGGCGTGGCGTGGCGTGGCGTGGCGTGGCGTGGCGTGGCGAGGCGTGGTGTGGTGTGGCGTGGCGTGGCGTGGTGTGGCGTGGCGTGGTGTGGTGTGGTGTGGTGTGGTGTCCATTCTCAAAACAACAGAAAATGAAATGCAGTTGCAAGTAAATGTTAAGACGATATTATATTCTCATAACAGTAGGAAAGCTATAGTTGAAAAAGTGGCTTTGTAATGTACATCATTTGCATGATATGCATTCGTGATACATTATAAAGATAGAATTTCAAGTCAAGGTGTTATTCTGTATGGCAAAGTTCACCTGAGTTACAGAAAAACAATACACTAGGACTAGGCAGGATGTGATGTGTCAGCATCTTTCACAATTTGTGATAACCAAACAAACATAATTTGGATATACAATTACATCTGGTACCTCTAGGGCCTTCGGACTGCAATCTCTGCAGGGCCTGTTAGTCCATAGCTATAGTACCTCAAGAGAGGCTAATCCCACAATTGTGCGTGCGTGCGTGCGTGCGTGCGTGCGTGCGTGCGTGCGTGCGTGCGTGCGTGCGTGCGTGCGTGCGTGCGTGCGTGCGTAAGAGAACTGCCAATATGTCCGTGAGCTCCATTTCCTCTTTTAAGTAACAACAAATTTATTGTTTGGTAGATTTATTTTCAGGAGAAATTCGTGAACAGTTTTATCTTTATTGTCCATCAAATCCAAACAATTCATTTGTTGTCGCCTTACAGAGTCTAGCAGCATGCTTTGATTTGTGAAACAACCAGATTCTAATTAAAAGCGATTTTATTTAAAGGTGACAGGTAACAAAACTGTTCATTACTTGAGATTACATTATCTAGTATCATTTTATTCAATGGAGTGGACACTGTATGTTTACATATCGTAAATTCATGTTAGTTCTATTTTCTCTGTAAGCATTGCCATGACGAGCGCACCAAAACAGGTGTCTGCCTGACGAAATGGTGTAGCCTACGTTTCACATTAATGGAGTCCTGTGTCTCCTGTGAGCTACATTATGGAAAGCGTTAAAAATCAAAGACATGACCAAAGTGAGCACTATAATATTTTGTGATTGCAAAACGTATTTAAATTTCATTCAGAAATAAAAGCATTAAAGTATTTGTTTTTGAGGTGTCAACAAGGCGATGGACACCACTGTCAAATTTTTACCTGATATACACACAAACCTTTGTATTAAAGATATCACTTGAAGCCAGGCTGTCGATGTAAACAATAAATATTCAACACACGGAGTATTTCCTTGAAGAATATGGTGGTGAATATAGAGTCACGAATTTACTGTGCGTTTTACTCTTGGGGTACCTCGGGTGACCTTAACAATGACATGCGTTTCCCTTTAACTTTATACCACTTATTTGCAATATAGGCTAAACTCCGGAAAAATAATTATCTACTAAGGATTGTTATATCTGAAGTCCTTCTGACACATTGCTCAATTATTTCTTGTGCTTGAAATAAGAGACAGCAATTAAAGGCAAAGACAAAGTTGCCCACAGACCAATGTAAATTTGAAAAGTGCAGAATTTGTGTTTGTTTTTTAGTCCAGTAACTGTCCCGTCTCCCTCAGACTGTTATGGCGGAGGTCACGTGACGTTACAGGTTATCAAAGAAACTCTTTCTTTGGCTCCTGTTACAAACAAAGTTCCTTGTCCGTATTAATACGTGTAAATTAGGAGTATAATTATGGCACTTCTTTCATTCCAAAACATGTCACACAAACTGACGCATTGGGCACCAAACGTCCTCTCAGTTGTCTGGCCGAAATCATAAATCATCTTTTGACGAATCCAAAGTTTAGTGCCTCGCATAAATTGTGGCAGAAAGACAAAATCCTTATTTTATACTGGCTCGCATTATCCTGATTATTGACCATGTACATTTATAATTTATATGGATGCTATGTGCACTGTTCACACCTTTTGTTCATTCATTCATTCATTCATTCATTCATTCATTCATTCATTCATTCATTCATTCATTCATTCATTCATTCATTTATCTATTTATTCATTCATCCAAACATTCATTCATCCAAACATTTATTCATCCAAACATTCATTCATCCAAACATTCATTCATCCAAACATTTATTAATATTTTCTCAATCATACAAAGATCAACATATTTACTTATATATTTACTCACTCTGTTGAATCTCTTCACTTTTCTGAAACATTGTTTTAGGGTTAGTTTTAACATTTATACATAGGCCTATAGATACACACATATTACCGTGACTGTTTTGTTTTTATTGAACAAATAGTAATTTTGAAGCTGCCTCGGTATATGCAAGGCGAGGGGCGCAAAATGTATGTACTATTACCGAATGAATGTGTGTGTGTGTGTGTGTGTGTGTGTGTGTGTGTGTGTGTGTGTGTGTGTGTGTGTGTGTGTGTGTGTGTGTGTGTGTGTGTACTATAACTACATTTTAACATTTAGCATTTTTAGTTTTGTCTTTTGACAGGTCTATCGTGAATATTCTGAATCGAGGTTTTAACAGATCACCCCCTCCGCCCCCACCCCCGCCCCAAACAGATCGCGACAAGCATACTCTCAACAGCAGTGGTAACGAAAGCAAACTGTCACAATTTGTATATTCCAGTGCATTGCCGCGCTTAGGCATGACTAGGAAAATTGCAAAAGCTTTTAAAGCTGTGGTTTCAGCACAGTCGATAGCTCGTCGCATTTAAAAAATGAAAATTCATAAGTTCGAACTTGCCGTGTCGCATTTTGTTTTTTAAATGATCTTTATATAGAAATAAACGTGCACAGCTGAATGAATCGTTTACCGTGTCGTATGCATGAATAGTGCTTGTGGAAAACAAAAGTAATGTAAATTATTTGTTTGCTAGACCTCACACATAGATTCAGGCTTGAAGCCGCAATGTCAAATTTGGTCTATTTGTCAGATATTTTTCTGCCGCTTCACTCAGTTAACAACCCATCTTATGACAAGCACAGGCTGTTGCTGGGGACGGTAAACGTCTGTTTTTAATATATTTCTTTGCCACAAATCAGTCAGTGAGACGATGAATATACCTGTCGACGCAATAACATCGTCCCAGAAAACAGCCCAGCCCAGCCCAGCCCAGCCCAGTTTAAAAAGTTCTCTGAGGCACAGGATAAACGCCGCACGTGCACCTGTCTCATATTGTCTTAACACAACCCGGGTGGTGTTATCAGGATTGAGCTTGCTGTCACCGGATCCACACCTTGGTGCATGGAAGTTGTATTTGATCAAATTTACGTCAGGATTTCACCATTAACGCAGTTCCCGTTTTTCCGCACATCTGAGCTTTAGTATAACAGCTAAAACCGTTTTACCTTTACTGTATGATATCGATAGAATCACATAATATTTCAGAATTAAGTTCAGTTAAGTAAAATGTCATCTTTTCATTTTTATCTTGTCTGGTAACCACAGGTATGACATATCAAGGCCACCAAATGCAATGACACATGTGTGTGTGTGTGTGTGTGTGTGTGTGTGTGTGTGTGTGTGTGTGTGTGTGTGTGTGCGTGCGTGCGTGCGTGCGTGCGTGCGTGCGTGCGTGCGTGCGTGCGTGCGTGCGGCGTGCGTGTGTGTGTTTGGGGGGGGGGGGGGGGGGGGACCGGACCATTAAAGTTGCCGGACCATTAAAGTCGCATATCCACTTTCAGAACAAAGTGAGCATGTTTTCTTCCATATTGAGTCAGTCAGTCAGTCAGTCAGTCAGTCAGTCAGTAAGTAAGTATGGTTTTACGCCGCTTTTAGCAATATTCCAGCAATATCACGGCGGGGGACACCAGAAATGGGCTTCACACATTGTACCCATGTCGGGAATCGAACCCGGGTCTTCGGCGTTACGATCGAACGCTTTAACCACTAGGCTACCCGACCCGACCGCCCCATCTTCCATATTGAAGCAGGCAATCAATACATTAAGCACATTTAATATAAGAGGCTTCTGCTGAATGATCTGAAAATGAATGAACTTTAGTGGCTATGATACCATGTCCAACATTGTGCAACATTGTTCGACATTAGAGCAAAACGGCCAATTTAGCCTCCCAACACCACACTATATGAGTTTTGGTCAACCCTTCCATTAATACAAGTTAAATACGGAGAAAGAGTACACAGCAATGTGTTTCAATGTGACATTCTGAGAGAAATGGGTCTTTCATCAGTTAGGTACTCTATTTATACAACGTGTAGTGTTGCTAATAGGTTGACATCCAACACATCAGCGCTTTCCTCACCAACAGCAAGCACAGCACATGGGAACACTTTCGTACAAATGATTCTCGAGTTTTATATCGAGTTTTATAGGATTTCAAGTAAAACGGTTCAATCAAAATTGCTAATAAAACGCAATTACTAATTTATAGTTCAAAAAGTGCGCTGGGAAATGGTACCATCTATATAAATATAACGTATGATATTCCTCAAAAATTATTCATACCCATCAAAATAAATGT